GCCCACTGCTCCAACGGCGGCCGCTCAGGCCACTGTCCCGCGCAAAACAACCGACACTCCCACCACCTCCCCCGACTCCAGGGATGAGGATCAGGACTACACCTGCCCTCACTGCGACCGTACCTTCACCTCACACATCGGCCTGGTCGGTCACTTACGAATCCATCGCACAGAGACTGGCGAACCAGTGCCTGGAGCACCCACCTATACCCACCAGGCTCGTCTCAACTTCCCACACTGCCCTCGCACTTTCAGGCATCGCATGGGCCTTTTCAGCCACATGCGCATCCACGACGACCTGCGGTAGACAACCGTCGGCCACACCACACATTCACACACTCCCTTCCTCCTCCACCACCACCATCACCCCACCAGAAATCAACACTCACACACCTCATGCACCCAACTGCCACCTCCCACGCAAGTGGGAAGTCCGCATCTCGACTCGGTCCCCATGCGGCTTCGGCTGCACGGGTGACTTGAGTCCGAGACTATCCCGACACGTCAAGCGTCGTGGATAGGAAGGTTGCTGATTGGCGCCCGCTCTCGGTTCACGCAGTTCGTCGCGTTGTGTGTGTGTGTGTGTGTGTGTGTGTGTTGTGTGGAGTGGCGGACTGGTGGGCTGGGGACGGGCTGAAACAGCACCTTCCACGGCACTCTCACGCAAGTGAGAGACACGCCGTTCAACCCCCGTTGTGTGAAATCCTGGTGTTGTGTGTATGGGGGGCCAGGTCGTGCCGTGGCGCGCGCAGTCATGGTCATTCGACCATGACAGCCACCGCGCCCATTCCCCACTCCAGTCTGCTGACCGGCTCGAACAGCGGCTGGGGTGTGGGGGTGGGAAGGGAGAATGAGGTCGACGACTCAGCGCACTTTCTCCTCACTATAAACAATCTGACGCGCTTGAAGCTATCACGGTGCGCTAAAAGCCGTGGCTTGGAAGGTTGCCAACTGACGGGGTACCTTGGACCTCCTCCTTAACGGGAGGCGGTCTGAGAGTCAGGCTGCAATGGCTCCTTTTTAATGTGGCCTTTATGGCACTCCCATCACAGTGTGGGATCCGAGCCAGGCGTTGGCGGCACGCCCAGGTGCGGCTTCGGCCGTGCCAGCCTCCAAATCTCTCTTGTGTTGGTTGAAATCCTGGTTATTTGTTGTGTGGACCAGGGGGTGTGGTGGAACGCTAAGGTGAGGATCCGTCCGAGCCATCCACCTGCGGCCTCTCTCGTCTCCGGTCTTCTTGACTCTGTCTTGACACCGGGCGAGGGAGGAGGAGAGAGTGTAGGTAGATGCTACGCAAGTCCACCGGCACTATAAACCCCTGCGTAAGTCACCGTCCCTGCTCCCATTGCTGCTGCAACTGCGGGGCACACGGTGGACATCATCGAAATCGATGGTCGAATTGTCATTCATCTTCGCATTGGGCGGTGCCAGACGCGTTGATCGGCAGCGCCTCGACCAACTTCAACTGGGACTAACGTGCGTCTATGGAGTCGCAGCCGCCCATGCGC